TAAGAACTTTCTCCTTGCATACCAAAGAGGAGTTTTCTGCAACCCTTCTGTGTTCTTGGAACCAGATGAGGGGGGGAAAAGCACCTCTGGGAAGCACATGTGGAATAATCATCAACTAGGCAGCCTCTGGAGAGAATGCAGAGCCAATGAAGAAGACAGCGCAGGGACGAGTTGAAAATTAACTCCTGGGCTGGCTCCACCTTTTAACCAGCCAAGGGTGCTCTCAAAATTATTTATAAAGAAGCTAAAGAAGCCTGGGCACCCCTCAGTGGAGCTGTGTGCCCACGTGGGTTTATTCTGTGATGCTGATGGGCTGTTAGGCTGTGCTGAGGGAGCAGGGAAGGTTTGGAGAGCCCTGGCAGGATGAGTGGGGTGAAGGTGGCAGCCCTGGGGCGTCTCTCCAAGCTGCTGAAAGCCCTGCGGGCTGTGCCAGCACGGCCCTGCAGCCTGGCTGCCTGCTCCCGGACTAACACCAGGAATGCTGCCTGTAAGTCTCTGCCTCCCCTCCAAATCGGTGGAAAGTGGGGGAGCCTGGCGTGGGAAGAGAGCTGGTGTGGTTGGGTGTTGTTCTTATTTGTTAGGGAATTAAAAAGGGGGGTTTGGGAACGTGGCTGAAAGAGTGAAGAAAAAAGAGTGGACAGAATGAAAGAAGTGGAAATGCTTTGTGGAATTTCAGGGTTCCACCTTGTTCTTTATTTCTGCTGTCAGTGGCACTGGGATCTTTGTGACTCCAACCTGTGACAAAAAGCAATCGTTACTTGGGAGGCTAGGCTGCTTTCAATGAAAACTGTTCATGAGCATAATTCAAAACGCATTTAGCACAAATTGATTCTGACTGGGAATTTCACAGCCACTGCAATGTTTGATTTGGAAAATGAGGCCTAGAACAAGCCACAAACCCCTCCAAATGTGCTGCACAGACCTCCAATAAATCACTTTGAAGTGCAAGATACTCCTGGAGGATGTTAAAGATTTAGTTATTTAAAATACTGATTAACTTGCTTCCAGATAATATGGGGCCAGGCAGAGATTGTGTCTACTCACTGCTGTGCAGATAATGTCAGCTGGAGAACAGCAAAGAGTAATTTCTTAGAGCTAGAAAAACCTTTTGTTTCTTATTTTTCCTCTGTAAATTTGTTCAGCGTAATAACTTCTGCCAAAGAACAGAGCTGGGCTCCTCCTCGAGCATTTCATGGTTATCCAGGGTAAGAGGGGATCCCATTCCAAGGAGGGATCAGAGAGTTTCTTCCATCCAAGCAGCACTGCTGGTTGAATGAGCCACAACTGGTAGTTATTTTTTACTCACATTCCTCTCCTCAATTTGAGACAGATACTGTTTACTCCTTCAACCTTTCTCTCCTCTGTGCCATTCATGCAGGAAATGCCAAAACAAACTGATTTGGGAATTCCCTGTCTTTGGAATGGCTGGTTTTGGCAGGCAGGGAGTGGACAGGATCTCTGAGTGAGGCAGCCTGGGGGTTACTCCAGAGTTACTCACACCGAGGTTAAACAACTCAAAGGCTTCTACAGGTTTTGGATTCCCCTGGTGATCCAGCAAGGACAAAGGGCTTTTCCTGCACTTCACTGGGGGAATTGTGGCATGAATGTCAAAATTCCCAGTGATGAGGAGGACCAGGGAGTGTCTGTGCCAAGCTCTGAGGTATCTTGTAATGACACATGGAGGTGGAGGATTCGGACATTCATTTTTTAGAATAATTGCTGGAAGTGCTCTCCATGGGGATTTTTAAGCTAAATTTAGTAATTATTAGCAGAGCAGACCTGAATCAATTTTTTTCCTTTCTTGCCCTTTTAGAAGTAGTCACAAGAAAAGCAGAATCCTTCAAGTTTTGGGATTTTTTTTTTCCCAAAGAATTGTATGAGTCCTGCAGAGCCACACAATCCAGGTGTGCCATCTCCAGGCCTGCACATACAACTGCACTGCCTCCCCAAATCGTCCAGGAGCTCCTTTCCAAGCCCTTTCCAGGCTGAGTTCCTAAGCCTGCATGCATAATTTCAGCAAGTGTTTTTTATACAGGAGAAGATAAAGCCTCTGTTTGCTTTACCTCGCCAGCTGGAATTACCTCCCCCTTATCTGGGCTCAGCCACTGCTTCCTCAGCCAGGCTCCTATCTCAGCCAAACACTGTGGAGGCACAGGAAAACTCAGCATTTCCCACTCTGCTGTGCTCCCCTGTCAGCTACATCTGTTTGATAAAAGGCTCTGGGCTGTTTATCAATAAACTGGCCTAAATCACAGCCCCCATCTGACATCAATTCAGCAGCACTTTCAGCACCTTGTCACGATGGGCCTGAGCCAAGCAGCGCTGTTATCCTCCCAAATCTTGATTCAGACCAAAAAAGCTTCAAGGAAATCAACCTATCTTGGATTTCCTCTGCAATATTTGGTCCCAGTGGCTGAAGCAGAGCTGTGCTCCTTTAAAGTTTAAAAGGGTTCTTTACTGAGTTTCAGCAACGTGTATATTTTATTTTCTTGTTCAGATTGCGTTGCTATGGCAAACAGGGCTTAATTTCCTTCCCCTGGGTGGGGTTTCTCAGCTCTTGCCACTGCACAGTTTGCCCTGGTTTGTCTCATTTGTAAAAAAATAAAAGCACTTGATTCAACAGGTATTTTTGTTTTCAAGGATTAAAACCTTTATTTTCATCTGTATCTTGGTCCCCACCCTGAAGTTTTACTGACCATGCTTAGGAAGAAGAAGCAAGTACATGTAAAAAACTGGGTGGAGATTGAGTGATACAGGAGGGAAATAAAAGTGTTGCAGGTCTAAGTTATTTCTCTTTAGTTTTGTACCTCACCAGCCCATCATTGCTGAGAGTGGGTCATAAACTTCCTTTTTGCTGTGCAGCTCAGCCCACAAGAAGTGACTTGCTCTGTTCAGCTTAGTGAAAATCTCTGTAAAAAACTTTGCATTTTTCAAAACCTTGCAGGATCAAACCACCAAAAAGCTTCACGAAGTTGGGTTATCTTAATGGCAGAATATAAAGCAGTGGAGTTTGAGGCTTTTTATTTCATCAGCTTTAACATACAGAAAAGGGATAGTTGCAATTTTCTGTGATTTTCTATAATTACAGAACCAGATGTAGATGTAATTTCTCAGCTGCCCAAGGTTATCAGGTGTATTTAGAGGATACATCCTGGAAGAATGGATGGAGGGATGACAGTAGCTTGTTGGTAGATGAGCCTAAGTCCCAGAATCTCTTGTTGATGCTGAATATAAAACACCTGAAGCTCCTCTGGGCTGTCCTGATGACCAGGAGCTGCCTGAAGAGTTGCCTAACCATGATCAATAGGCTGTCAAACTGTGATTCAGCCTGACTGAATCACGTTTATGGCATCTTTTCAATCTCATTGATTATCCATCTTTTTAAGCTACAGGAAGCATTCTGTTTAGAATGATAAATTAGCCACCCTAAAAAATGTTGGGAGTCAAACCAAAAATTAATTTGCTTACAGTTTTGCTACACAAAAAAGACTGCAGGAGGAAGTAAAATGAAATTTAAACCCCATTTAACATCCTGACATCACAAGCTGTTTGTACATCTCCTGATGATCTGTTTGTGATCATGCAGCCACTCAAAGCAAATTGTTGGTCAGATTTCAACCTGCTCTTACTCAACTCAGTACTTTAAACATGTTATATTGTGAATGCAATGGAAACTTCTTATGCAATGTTGATGAAACAGGGAAAACACTTCTTGCTTGGCTCTGCTTGAGTATCTGGTCCTGTCTTCATTTCAGTAAAACATTCTCAGTGTTATATCAGGTTCCTTGTGAAAATTCAAAAGTACAAGATTTAAAAAAAGCCTAAAAGAGAAATGCAGATTTTCAAAATTATTTTAAGGGAGCCATTAAGAAATATGATTGTACAGCAAGATGAAGGGTTGCTATTCTGCTCCTGGCTGCCCAAGGAGAACTGGCAAAAATTAGAGCTCTTGCTTTATCTCTGTGATTTCACCGATGCTTTCAGCTTTCTACAGGCTTTCCTTTTTTCCTTTAATTTTATTTTTTTGCTATGTGTTCCTTCCTGGCAGCTGGAACAGGTGTGATGAAGGTTTTAACCAGTTTCATTGAGATTTCTCTGCCTCAGGCAGTGTCAGGTGAATACCGAGTTCAGTTAAGTTGAGTTGACCCTTTCACCATCCCAGGTGGGACTATTTTGACCTCTTGCCTTTCTGACAGCCAAAAAAAGTAAATGTAAATATTAACTTTTCATAACTTTTCTAAATGTGGCTTGTAGAGGGTACCCTGCTGTGCCAGGGCCACTCACCTCCGTGATTTTTTGATGTGAGAGAACAAACACTTTTTTGGCATTAGGGGATGCACTTGGTGTGAGAAGAAATACTTTGGTGTGAGGGAATAAATACTATTTTGATGTGAGGGGATGCGCTTTTGATGTGAGGGGATGCTTTTTGGGGTGAGGTGATGTTCATTTGGGGTGAGGGAATGTACTCGATGAGAAAGAATCACTTTTGATGTGAGGGAATAAATACTCTATGTAAGGGAAAAACACTTGATAAAGGAGAAACGCTTTGGTGTGAGGGAGTAAATACTGTTTTGGTGTGAGGGGTTGTGCTGTGGATGTGAGGCGATGCTCATTTGGTATGAGTGATGTACTCAATGTGAAAGAATCACTTTTGATGCGAGGGAATAAATATTCTATGTGCAGGAAAACACTTGATAAAGGAGAAACACTTTGGCGTGAGGGAGTAAATACTATTTTGGTGTGAGGGGACACTTTTTTGGGTGAAGCATGCTTTTTTGAGGGGATGTTCTGGGTGCGAAGGAATCCCTTTTGATGTGAGGGGACGCGCTTTTGCCAGGGGCACGGGGCCCACCCTGAGCGCGGGAAATTCCCATCCCCACCGTGCCCGGAGCTGCTCCCGCTGCTCCGGGGCTGTCCCAGCATGAGGAGCCGCCGAGGGCAGGCCCAGCCCGCCCCCGGGCCATGGCGGGGAGGCCGTGCCGGAAGGGGCCGCACCGGGCCGGGCTGGGCGGCGGCTCCGCGATCTCCGCCGCGATGCTGCCGCTGCTCCGCCGCGCTTGGGCGGCCGCCGTCACCTCCTCGTCCTCTTCCTCCTGCTCCGCACGGCCGGGCAGCCGCCGGTGCAGCCTCGGCGCCTGCTGCTCCTACCGCCTGCGAGACGCCCGTGAGTGCCGCTCTCCCTCAGCCCCCCTGCCCGCCCTGCCGCTGTCCCGCCATCGCTGCCCAGCTCTGTGTAGGAAAGGGAGACGCCGAGCTCTGCCTGGCTTTGTCCTCCGCTGAAGCATCAGGAAGTGGCGGCGTTTTAAATAAATACGGGGAGTGTTTTGCGCCGCCTTTGCCTGAGTTGACCTTACGGAGCTCCACAGTTTGCACTTCACTGAGGGAAACCGGGGTGGGAGGGAAGTTTTTCGGCCACCCCTCGTGTGAGTGGTTTGAAGGTTTAATTTATTTTCAATTGCTTGTTTAAAAGACCCAGGTATCCAGTGAAGTAGCCTGTAAAGTGATGCTCGAAGCATCGCGATTTGGGGTTCGGGTTGTGTGCGGGTCACCGGGTGAAGTGAACAGCTCCACATAGGCGGCAGTTCTGGTTTTAAGCAGAATAAAATCCTGTGGAAGTAATTCATGTACCTGTTCTGATTGTGCCAGACCCAAGCTGCCCCCAGAATTGCTGGGTTTGGGTTTGACAGGAGCGATCTGCACGAAGCAGTTTTGGTCAGGATCGGTGTGGTTTGGGTTACTCCTGCTGCAGGAGCTCTGAACCCCCCTTTGTGGGGTAACCCCTCTGCTTGTGTTTTCTTCTAGAGCATGTTTTGCTTCCCAGTGGCAATTATCCCATGTCTGGAGCACTCCCAGCTCAGCTGATGGTGCTGGTGTGTAAAGAAAGCTGTAAAACAAAGCTGCCTTAAAATCTGGCAATAATAGGGAAGCATTCTCCTTTTCTGGGAAATAAGGGGACAATTTCTTTGCAGAGCATTCTGCAAAGGCAGAAAGGTACTGACATGGTTCTAAGTGAAATTACTGCACTTCCCTGTTTGGCTTTGAGTCATGCAGCTGGAATGTTTTATTTTTCTTTTGCTTTCCTGGGCACCAGCTGACTCGAATTAGCCTTTGGTGACACAGCACCTTCCCTTGCCAGAAAGTTCTGTACCCTGCATCAGCCTGACTCTGCCCCTTATCTTGCAGTGCATCCGCTGTGGCAGAGCCCGCTGACAATTCCCGGGGGCACCCGCCAGTCTCCCATCAACATCCAGTGGAGGGACAGTGTTTATGATCCCTTCCTGAAGCCTCTGAAAATCAGCTACGACCCCACCACCTGTCTGCACATCTGGAACAATGGCTACTCCTTCCTGGTGGAGTTTGATGATTCTGCTGATAGATCAAGTAAGTAAAAACTCAGGGGGAAAAAAAAATCTAATTAATGCTAAGAGAGGAGAAATACCTGCGTGATGTAAGACCTGATGCTGAAAATGAAAGTACAGTAAAAAAAATGCTGGGTTTAAAGTGGTGGGAATCACGACGAAATTCCATACAGACTTCACATTTACAGTGTTTTTATTACCCATGGGCATTGTGCACAAATCCCCTGGTGTGTGTTGAAACTCCTTTCACAAGCCCCAGTGCCCTGTCTTGTAGATTTTGTAATAAACTTCACCCACACGAGTCAATCTTCAGCCATTTCTATGTGTACTTACTCAGTTTGAAACCTGATTCCCTCACTGCTCTTTATTGAAGTAATCTGCCACTTATCTTCTGTGGGGCTAATAAAGATATTTACTGCACTTGAAATAATCAGCAGCCAAATGAGTTGCAGTTGGAAAGCACACAGGCTTATCTCTGTGGGGTTTTAGGGAATGAAATAACACTGGGCTCTGCCCTCAGGAGCAGGTGTGTGTATCTCTGTTGTTTTAGGGGAAGCAGGAGAGCATGGAAAACCCAACCATGCGTTCCAGCAATTTCATGTGAATAAACCTCTGACCTGAGCAGCTCAACAGAGTAAAAAAAATTGACTTAAAATCAAAATATTGCTCCCAAACCCCAGATTTTCTGTCCACTGTTCTTTCTAAAAGCTGCCTTTACCAAAGGATATTGCGGAATATAAAGGTATTTCATAAAGGTGGGTGAGCTGGTAGCAGTTGGTCAGGGCTGTTGTGAAGCACAGGATTGCTCAGCGTGTCCTGCAGGGGAAAACTGAAGGACCCTGAGCAAGTTTGAACCTGTTGGATTGGAGCCGTTTATGTTTTAAATGACTGCTCTCCATGAGAGCTCCTCCAGCTTCCTGAGGGATTTAGCAATGCCCTCGGGGAAGGAGCCTCCAGCACACAAACAAACACTTTGTCTGCACAACACCAACATTTGTGGTTGGTGTTTGGAGAGGCTGATAAAACAGTGCAGCAAAAAACGGTGGTGGAATGCAGGGAGCTTGTGTATGTTTGGGGCTCATTTATTTATCTTGTTTCTAGCTGTTTGCTTGGACTATCCATTTCCAAGAGGGATAATCCATTTCCAAGAGAGAATATCCTTGCCCTTGCTCATTTAAGCACTGATATAATGAACAAGTGCTGTTTCTTGAAGTGAGGTTGGGTTAGAGGGCAGTCATCACCTGTTACCTCATCAGTAATTTTAATTTACTAACTTTAGATTGGCTTTGCTTTTCATCAAACAGCCTCTTGCTTCATAAGCCACACCCCACTATCTGTTGAGGATGAGATCCTGAAAAGTGTTTAGTGGGAAGGGGAATTGCCTGTAGGGGGTTCAGAAATATGCAATATTTAATTGCACAGGAGCAGTTTGTGTGGCATAGAGGCAAGGCTGCAATCATCAGGTGCTCACCTCTGAAAGATCTTACCTGCTTTGTCTGTGAGACTTTCCTTGAGGTAAATCTTTCCCTGTGAGCATTTGCTGCCTTTTCATCATCCTCATCTTCCTTAAATGAATTTAAGTCCATGAAGGGTAGGATGGCATCAATCAATCAGTGACAGGGCTCCAAAATGACAGAGAAGCAACAGACAGTGAGGTGTTGCTGTATAACCCCCAGTTTTCAGGTGCCTGCCTCTCTCCTCCACCTTTCTCTCTTCACTCTTGCTGTTTCTGGTTTTTCTCACTGCCAGCTTCTGTCTAACAATCATAGAAATCCAGAGAAGAAAGCTTGGGAACAAACAAAAGCACCACAGTCGAAAGAGAAGATGAGAAAGACACCCAGGATAGACAGAAATGCCTGAATCCTGAGATGGGGTTTGCAAGACTTGGGCTAAAGCTGAAGGTAGAGCAGGAGGAAGAAGAGGGTGAGGGAAGGTATGTACAGCATGTGCTCTGCCTGTGTGTGGTGCCACCAGAAACGAGGCTGAACCAGAGCCAGGGCTGCAGGAAACACCTGAAGTGGTTCTTGTTGTTGTTAGAGCCCCTCAAACTTCAGTTTTGTTTTGAAATTGTCAAGGTTGTAATTTGAGAGGAAATGCTTCTGAAGGGACTGAAGTTTCTGTTTGTTTCCTGTCACTTTCTGGTGGCTACTGCAGGAAGCTGAGTCCATATGTGTGTCTGTGCCTGAAGTAATTTGTGAGGTAAATGCTCAGGTGGATGTGGTTAATAACACAAATTTGTAGTCACTTGTGGGTTTGCATCATCACATCCACAGGAGTGGATGGTGTCAGAGCACAGAAACTTCACTTCTGAGAGGCTTGGCTGTGTCACCCACGTGTTTATCCCACCCCTTCTCCAGCACAGAGTCCCAGCATGGTTTGGGTGAGGACCTTAATGCTGATCCCATTCCATCCCCTGCCATGGCAGGGACACCCTCCAGTCCCTCAGGATGCTCCAAACCCTGTCCAGCCTGGCCTTGGACACTTCAGGGATGGGGCATTGTGATCTCCCAGTGATGGTCAGCATTGCATTCATTCAGGGGATGAAATGAATTCAATGTCACTTTGCACAGCTCCTTTTAATTTATTCCTTTTTCACACACAGGCCTGTCTGGTTCAGATTTCAAACCTGCTGGCTGACTTTCAGGAAAAAAAATAATACAAGAAAATCTCTTAATGCCTCTCATTGTTTTCTCCTTAGCATGGAAGTGATTAACTTATTTCCAAAGGCAGTGTTGGGATTAGATGCTTTATACCAAAGTTTGCTGTAAAACTTCCCCATGTCCTACAGTTCAGTAAAAATCAGCAGCTGCTGATGGTTTAGTGCTGGGTGAACCCTTGGTAAAGCTCTTTTCCAACCTAAATGATTCCCTGATTCCATAAGTGTTATTAGCCCTTGGGAATCAATTAGGGTTTCTCATTTACCAGATGTTCTCATTTCATGATTAGCAAGATGACTTTGCAGGATGGTTTTGGTCCAGATAGGGAGGGAATGAGTGGAAGCAGAAAGCCAGGCATGGACATGGATTCATGTGTTTGCAGAAGGATGGGAGGCCCTCTGAAATCAGCAGAGCAGAATGAAGTTTGACCTTTACTCATTGATGAAAAGGGCATTAAATCTTTCAGAAACTTGCCCAGTGGCAGACTGGATGTTTAAATCCTTCCTGAACACCTTGTGGGCACAACAAAACATATTTCTGACTGACCCTTGCTTGTGCAGTCTGGAAGCTGTGCTGAAGCAGAAAAAGATGTTGGGATTTTTGTAGCTTGCAGGAGACTTGAACGTTTGACTCAATACACAGATTTGTCTGGCATAATTTGCTTTTCGAAGTCTTGTCGTGAGAAATGTCAACATTTTTCACAGATCCTTGTAGGGATGTCACTGAATGCATTTAATAGATGTGTCACTGCTGTGTCACCTGGTCAGGCAGTCCTGACACTCCTGCTGTGACAGAGGGGTGACAATGTGACACTCACCACTGTGACTGTGCCAATTTTGGTGCCAACTGGGAGAACATTCCCTCGAGGGGAGATGGATGAGGAGACTTCACTCATCTCCAGTTTGGTGCAGGGAGAACCAGAATGTGTTTGCTTGAGTAATTTGGTCATGGCAAAGTGCAGACAGGCACTGTTTGAGTTGCTCCACCTTGCACTTTTCCCAAGGATTGGCTTGTCTGGGCAATTCTAAATCACATTTATTAACATGTGTGTCTTGTTTTGTTTTCTAGTCATCGTTGGAGGCCCCTTGGAAAACCAGTACAGGCTAAAGCAGTTCCACTTCCACTGGGGAGCTGTCAATGACTGGGGCTCAGAGCACACAGTTGACTGTAAATTTTACCCAGCAGAGGTATGAGATGGAATCCTCAACAATGCAAATACTTAGCTCAGGTGTGTCTGTGAAAACACCCAAATTGAGGAATTGCAGTTTATTTTGAAGGGCTACAGCTCATCTGCTGTTTTATTCTATAAAAATTCATCTCTACTGTTTTTTCTGGAGAAGAACAGCCTGAAAACTGAACTGAAAGTGAAAAATCACTTTGTTTATTGTTACTAAATCTTTCAGAGAAACAAACATATACTCTTATAAAACATCACCTTATTTTCTGTTTGCAACTGATGAACAGTTGCTAAAATAGCAAAACTTTGATACTTAAGTAACTGCTAAGAAAGAAAACGTCAATAAAGAGGATGAAGCCAGTGAAAATGTGAAACTGTGACAGCTTTGACCACAGTTCTTTGCCAAAGGAGAAGTTGTCAAGTGATGATGGGTTATTTTTAAGGAGAGTTTCTCTCCTGTTGGTGTGTTCATGGTGCTGCTGCCAGCTTGGCAAGATCCTCATTAACAGGGAGGCCGTGACTGAGTTTTTGGGCTGGGGTATTTATTTATCACACAAAACCCCTCAATGTATTGGCTGTGAGCAGTGCAGAGGAAGATTGCTGTGTGCAGGGGGATGTTCCTCAGGAGCACAGGGTGCTCTGCTCCTCCTGGGAAGGGAGGAAAGAGATGGAAGACGGAGCTTTGTCTGTGCCTGTGACCAGCATTCCTGGAGGCAGACTGCCACAGACTAAACCTCTTTTAAATGCAGTGGGTCTTAACTATTGCTTAAAGCAAAAGAGAAAAAAGGAAGGGAAGGACCATTATTTACCAAGAGCATCTTGTTCCTCATTTCTGTGGTTTCTGAGGAGCTCCCTGAGTGCCTCACCCTGCTGGGATCAGCAGTCAGGTGTGGTGTCTGTGCTCTGGGGCTGATTTCTCCCTTTTCTCTCTTTCAGCTGCATTTGGTGCACTGGAATGCTGTGGAGTACCCGAGTTTTGAGGAAGCTGTGATGGAAGGGAATGGCCTGGCTGTTATTGGAGTGTTCCTAAAGGTAATTTTGTTCTGTGGGACCAGCTGTGATGGGGCCTTTCCGTTTGCATTCTGTTCAAGCCAATTTAGGCCAATTAAGGGAAGGCTGAGATGGGATCCCATCAATCCCATCAACGTTCCCAAGGGGTGTCAGAGGATGGTGCCAGGCTCTGTTCAATGGTGCCAGTGACAGGATAAGGAGCAATGGCCAGAAACTAAAAAAAGTTTCACCTCAATGTGAAGAACTTTCTGTTGAGGGTGGAGCAGCTGCCCTGGGAAGATATGGGATCTCCCTGTCTGGAGACATTCTAAACCCACCTGGATGTGTTTGTTCCTCCAGCCTTGGGCTGGATGATCTCCAGAGCCCCCTTCCAACCCTAAATATCCTGTGGTTGTTGTTATGAAAAAATCCTAAGGCTGATAGGTAGAACTGATTGATTATTGATCAGCTCATTGATTGTCCAACCCCTCCCTGTCCCTGCAGCTGGGAGCACGGCACGAGGGGCTGCAGACCCTGGTGGATGCCCTGCCAGCAGTCAGACACAAGGTCAGTGCTCTGGGGTGTCCCACTCGTTGTCACCCAGCAGAAAGAACGCTTGGAGAACCACAACACACCCAGAAAAGCTTTCTTCCTTAAATTTTACTGGAGGGGCTGATTGACACCTTGGAAGTGGGAAGGGAAGCTAATTTTTCAGAAGGAATTGGATACTTGAAGCTTTCCAAACTCTTGAAGAAATGCTGCTCTTGAGATTGTTTCCCTTACAAAGACATGCTTAAGTGGGGGTTTATTTACTGTGGGATTAAGGCTTTTTGATTTTTGTCTGATCTTCGAGGAGGTTATTTGCTTTTTTATAAACACTGAATTTTCTGCTGGGGGAATGGGATCGTTCCTGGCAGGCTCCTGCCAGGAGAGGGAGCGCTGAGTCTCTGGCAGAAGCATTTCCTCCTTCCCCTGCCCGTTCCCTTCTGAAAGTACACTCAAAAAACCACACCGACCACTTTAACTTCTAATCTCATCCAGCTGAAGTCGCTGTGCCTCTGCTTCTCACAGCAAGGAGATTGTAAAATCCAAATAAAACAAGTTTTTATATCAGAGCAGTGACAGCTCTGCCAGATAAACACCAAACATGTCAGTTCAGTGCTGGAAGACTTCCCCAAATCTGAATGTACATCTATTGTGATAATATAATAATTTACAGCATGTGAATTTAAAAGAAATTTAGCCAAGATCCCCCAGTATATCCTGAAACTCCCCCTGGAGCAATGTTTGTGTGGGAAATCCTGGGTTTTGAAGCTCCTGATATCCCACATGTGGGAATGAATTTTGGAGATGGGAATGTTTGATTTAAATTAAACTTCAGTCCTGTTCCTGCTGCCTAAAATCACATGGTGAAAAGTAAAACACTTTTTGTTTGCGGTCTTTTAAGGATCTGGCACAGCTACCTGAACTTATCCCACCACTTCTTCCCTCTTTTTCCTGGTTGCATCAGCTCCCACAGAGCCTTAGGCCACTGATCCTTCTCACTCCTTGTTTCTCCTGCACTGAACTCCTGATGTTTTGTGAGGAGACAGCAGAAATATTTAACTTCTGTCTGCTCAGCAGCTGCCCCTTACACCTCAAACCATATTTTATCCAAATTTGAGGGATTTAAAATAATTAATATTATTAATATTCCCAACACCCCATTTTGTACGCACACAAAACGCACAGTTTTTAACCTCATTGTCGAGATATTTTTCAAGTTTCTGTAGGTTTTTTCTCAAAACACCATCCTTAAAATGGTTTTTTTTCCTGCTTTTAGGACACTGTGATCGAGTTTGATGTCTTTGACCCCTCGTGCCTGCTCCCTTCCTGCCCTGATTACTGGACCTACGCTGGCTCCCTGACCACTCCTCCCCTCACTGAGTCGGTCACGTGGATCATTAAGAAGAAGCCAATCGAGGTGGATGAGGATCAGGTAAATCTCAATTTTCCTTTCAGATCACACCTCTTGCTGCCACAAAGGTGCTCAGAACCAGTTTGTCAGCAATTCTCTGTGAAAACACAAAAATTCTCGGTGTTTTCAGAGATCTGTGGCTGTTTCCACCCAGGATTTGGGGAGGAATCCTGGCATTAGCAGCCACCAATACTGACAGACCTCTCCAAGATGTGTTTTCAACTTTTCAATCTATTCTCAAGAGTTTTATTTTGATATGTGATACAATTCTGGAAGCTGCCCCTTGAAAACTTGGGAGGTTTTAGGAACTTATTTGAATTCTCATAATTTTGCTCTCCTTAGCATGATGCAGCCTTTTTTGTGGAGAGAAGGGAAAAAGGGAAGATTTTGTGACATGGAGATTGTTAACAGAGAACTGCAGGCAGAGTGTGGCATTCCTTTAAATTGAAATTTTTCTCTTTTTTTCTTGGCTCCACTCTCATAGCAGTGACTTACCATTGGAATGGCCTTGTGAGCATTAAAACCTGATCTGCTGCTTTATTTTAACCCCAGTTATAAACCAGTGAGACAACAACTTGGGCATTGTTGGGGTTCCCTCTTTTCTGGGTGCCAGGGAGGCTGTAAATGGAGGTTGGATGAAGTATTTGAGTAGGAATAGATCTTTCAGATGTGCCACATTTGGGATTTGATTTCCCTAAGGATAGCAGGTGACTGATAATTTTTCCATGTTGGTGTGGATACCAGCAGATGTGGGTGCTAAAACCCCTCAGAACACAAACCTAGTGCTGCATTTGGTGCCACATCTGGGATTTGACTTCCCTAAGGATAGCAGATGATTGATAACCCTTCCATGCTGGTGTGGGTAATGTGACAATCTTTACCAGCAGACGTGGGTGCTAAAACCCCTCAGAACACAAACCTAGTGCCACGTTTGAGATTTAATTTCCCTGAGGACAGCAGGTGACTGATAATTCCATGTTAGTGTGGATAATGGGACAATCTACCATCCTATGTGGGTGCTAAAACCCCTCAGAACACAAACCTAGCACAAACTTTGGTGCCATGTTTGGGATTTGACTTCCCTAAGGATAGCAGGTGACTGATAATTCCATGTTGGTGTAGATAATGGGACAATCTTTACCAGCAGATGTGGGTGCTAAAACCCTTCAGAACACAAACCTAGTGCTACATTTTGTGCCACATTTGGGATTTAATTTCCCTAAGGACAGCAGGTGACTGATAATGCCATGTTGGTGTGGATACCAGCAGGTGTGGGTGCTAAAACCCCTAACAAACCTAGTGCCACATTTGAGATTTAAATTCCCTGAGGATAGCAGGTGACTGATAATTCCATGTTGGTGTGAGTAACAGGACAATCTACCATCCTATGTGGGTGCTAAAACCCCTCAGAACACAAACCTAGTGCTACATTTTGTGCCACATTTGGGATTTAATTTCCCTGTGGATAGCAGGTGACTGATAATTCCATGTTGGTGTAGATAATGGGACAATCTTTACCAGCAGATGTGGGTGCTAAAACCCCTGAGAACACAAACCCAGTGCTACATTTTGTGCCACATTTGGGATTTAATTTCCCTAAGGACAGGGATCAGGGATCCCTTTATCAGCAGGTGACTGATAATGCCATGTTGGTGTGGATACCAGCAGATGTGGGTACTAAAACCCCTCAGAACACAAACCTAGTGCCACATTTGAGATTTAATTTCCCTGTGGAAATCTTTACCAGCAGACATGGGTGCTAAAACCCCTGAGAACACAAACCTAGCGCTACCTTTGGTTTCGCTCCCCTCTCTGAGAACAAACTCCTGTCCTTTGCCACGAATTCCCCGTTTGGGGAGTTCCTGGGAGGTGACAGGAGTGGCCCTTTGTGCTTCCCAGCTGGAGGCCTTCAGGACGCTGCTGTTCTCGTCGCACGGGGAGGAGGAGAGGAGGATGGTGGACAACTTCCGCCCGCTGCAGCCGCTGATGGACCGCACCGTGCGCTCGTCCTTCCGCCCCCAGCTCAGCCCCTAGCTGCCCCAGCACCCCCCTTGCCATCCAGCCCTTCCCTGAGTGTCCCCAGGAAAGCTCTGGGGGGTTTTAGTTTTGATTTTTTTTAAGAAGTGACTGATATTAACTCTTAACTTGTTCCGAAGCAGGGGTCGAGAAGGGATTATTAAGACAGTTAAAGATAAGGACAGGAGAGATCCTCCCCTGCTCCTTCTCTGGATTGTTCTGTGGTTCTTCAAATGCTCTCTCAGTGCCTTGCATGAATTAGTAATCCTGGGTAAAAATTCTTAAGAAAGAGGATGTGGGAAGCAAAGAAAAATATCAGGACTGATCAGGTCCTTTTAGGGAATTGTTTGATGTTTGTGAAGAGAGCTGGAAGGGAACTAGCTTGTCTCAGAGACATTTTACCTTCTTTCTTTCTCCTTGGATGAGAGGAGAAGGTCAAAAATGACTTCCAGGATCTCTTTCCATTCTGTTGGCTGCACATTCCATGTTTGATGTGGATGCCCACTGTAAGGACACCAGGAGCCAGAAGACTTTTTCTAAAACCTTTTAACAACTGTAGAAGCTTTGGCAGCTTTTGTTTTTCCCTGTTAATAATCTATCAGGAGAAGGGAGGAGAAGAGAATTCCCCAGTGTCTCAAGACTGGCAAGAACAGCAGATTAGGTGAAAATGTCCAATTGATCCCAGGAAACTGATCACATCAAAGGAAAGCAAGATTAGATAAAGCCCAGCTGACCCTCCCAGTGGGATTAGGAGGGCAAAAACCCAAACCAATTCCTCAAACCAGTGCTAGGACAGTGAGGACAAAACACAGCACTGAGAAAGGGTTTTATTTCAGTAACTCACAGAGCACCAGTGCTCTCTTCAGTTTTGCCTTGAGATGAATTTTTCTATAAAAACACTTGCCCATCCTCAGGACCAGTGGGGACCAGTTTGTTTTTATTGCACCTTATGGTAACAAGGTCCAGTGGGGTTGGAATTGATTTGTGGACCAAGCAGAGCTGCTGTGTGAGCCCTTCCCAGGAGCTGTGACCCAGCAGCCCCAGGGATCACTGACCTCTCACATCCCACTAAACCTAATTTGCTCTCTGGCCTGTATGCTCTGCTGTATTTAGCAGATTAAATTCCTGCTCCAGATTTCTGATGAGGAGCAGCTCTGTCTGTGTCATCTCCATGGGTTGTGTTTCAGGAATCTTTTCAGGAATCTTTCCTCCCTCTGTTTGATTCCTGGTGGGATTCTGTGAAGCCACAACCTGGCTTGGCAATGCTAAATCCAGTTTTCTAATTGGTACTTTGGTTTTTTTTGAAGTCCAAGAATTGATTTCAAAGCACCTTAACGCTTTTCAGTGTGACCCTGATGATTTTAAGGGTTTCAGATCATGTTGTTGAAGCAGTGGAGTGCCCAGATCCTGCCTTTCCTCCCTCAATAGCTCTACCTCAGGCTGTTGTTCTGGTGCCACAGTTGTGCCTCTGTCCCTGCATTGTGGCCACTTCAGCTGAGTGGCTCTGGGTGCTGGAAGGAAGGAAATCTCTCTCTGTCCCAGTGTAGGATATTTTTCCTGTTGGGAATTCAGTGGAACTCTGATTTCACCACTTCCCCCAAGCCCTCCCTGCCTGGGGAACATTTCCATCCTGGTTGTGCCATCTCCCATTGGATGTGGCTGGGATTATCCTGGGATTGTGGAAGGTGTCCCTCCCATGGCACTGGGTGAGCTTTCAGGTCCTTTCCCACCCAAACCATTCCATGATTTTCTGATTCCATGCTCTCAGTTGAACTCTGCAGGCTTTGCCATCATCACTCAGAATTTTAGCTGCAAAATCACATCAGTGATGATTTTGCTGTAGAATGATACATTCGAAAACAAAGCTGGAAGGAATATCTACAGTCCAGGGAACAGGAAAAGAATTATTTTACTTTTTGCCTGAATGTATAGCAATTATGATCCAGTCATTAAGTTTGAGATATTTATTCAGTGCTGTTCTTGCAGACACTTTCTGAGGAGGAACCTGGAGAAAGATGGCAGCAGCTCAGATATTTTCTACTCATTAATAGAAAAATTGTAATACAAAGACATCTTCATGTTGCCTTCTATTTAAAACCAGAGGGCTGTAAGTGCAAAACCACTGGGCTGTAAGTGCATCAATCTCCTTATCATTTATTAATGGATCTTTTTAAAAGCTTTTGTAAATGCTCGGTTTTTAAATTGCTTTTGTAATTTCCACTGAGGTTTTAGATTTCTCTTATCCACTCAGAAGAATAGTTGATCCAGCTTTCCAAACAAACCCAAAAACCAGATTATTTTAGGGAATTGCCAGAGTTTAACTGTTTAACTCCAGCTGCTCTGGAATCCTACAGCAGCCTCACAGCCACTGAGCTCTCCATGGTTTGCTCAATTCAATCAGATTTTCCTCCTGGATGTGTAAATCCCCTTTGAACCACCCTGCATCCATCAGAGGGAGTGTGGGATATTCCCTTCCTAGTGATCCAGTTCAAGTTCTCAGAGAGATTTATTTAAAGTTCTCACAGAGATTTGCTTTGTTCAAGTGTTGCCATGGAAGCTTTGTTAGACAATAGTGAATTAGCAGTGATGCAGGTAAGCTGTGTCCATATTTACATCAAATCACACCTATTTTTACTGACAGAAAATAAATAAATTCCAATTATAGCACTGATCACTTCAAATATCTGAAAACAGGGTTAATGTAGATAAAAAAATAACTGTACTGTGCTACAAAAAGAAGTTTTACAGGGTTTTACTTTTCTTTTTTGTTGTTTCTTGAGTCCTGCATTTATGTGTAGTGTTTTAGCATCTCCTTAAGGCAGGCAGGAGCTCAGCTGCAGGGCACATTGTTGGAATTAATCTAGAAATTAATGTACTGATGTTTATTTGTTTGGGTTTTTTTTTTTTTCAGTTTTAAACTTTCCTGTTACAATGACTTTATTGACCTTGTGAATGTAAACTTTAGGAAAATAATGGTGTTTAAATCAAGAGATGGGATAGAATTCCTGTGCCTTTATTCTCTCAGTTCTGTGTGGAAAGATGATTGGATTGTTGGGTTACAGCTGATTTTGCACAATTGAGTTAAAAAGGAATTTTTGGGCTCTTTTGGGTGGCACAATACAAAAGGGTCAAAGCACATATTTGTATTTTCCTTGCATAAGAGTCACTTTATTATAAATACTGCCCTGGGAGGCATTCCTGGGGCAGCAAGCCCGGCAATTAAAGGCTGTCCCAGGAATAACTCTGGGACAGCTCCCTGCCAAGGGAGGAGGAGGTTTGGAGCTCTGTGCTGGTCTCATCCCAGCTGCCTCTCAGGATTCCTCTGCACTGCTGCTCTCACCTTGTCCTGGGTGACTTCACAGTGGGGACAACTTCCTTGGTGTTGGAGTGTTTGATCCCTGTTCCTGCATTCCAGAACTTTCACTCTTCAGGCGTTCCTGCCCCCTTTTGTGCTGCCTTTTCTGTCAGGGATGACAGGAGGGTTTCCCCGGCTTTGGAAGCTCCAGAATTGGAGTTTGCTTTGATCTCCACAGGGTTTTAGAGGACTGGAATTCAGCTTTGGATGAAGGGTCCCCTTGTGCCTTAATTTGGGATGTTTTAACTTGTATTTCCTGGCACATCTTGGCTTTTATTTTTGTCTTTGTGCATCTTGTTTTTGTGACCTTTATGACATTGTGTATTTAATGTGTGTTACCTGCTTGACCATAACTGAAATCAGTCTGCAGACAACACCTGGAGCAGGGAATGCTTTGTTTTCCTGGGATCCAGGCCCTTCCCCAGTTTTCCCCTGATGTACAGAACCCTTCAGCTGCTGCATTTGACACTGTTACATTAGTGTGCAACTACAATAAAGGAACAGAGAAACCCATGCCTGTATCTCGTTGTGTAATTAAGCTTTTCAAGATAAAAAAAAAAAAATCAGATTTCCTGTCAAAAAAAGATTAGAATTCCTCATTGGAAATGCCCCAGTTCATTAGGAGCAGAGTCTGATCAGCTGTCAGATGTTCTGTGATACTTCCAAGGCCTGAAAGGCTCTGCTGAGCTGTGTCAGAATGAAAGCACAAAGAGCTCTCTGTGCTGCTGGAGGGTGTCCCATGATTGATCACACCCAGCCAGATGCCACAGGCCGTCTCCAGCAGCATTCCAGCCTTCCAGGACCTTTCCTGAGCTCCTCCTCTGGCCACTGCCCATTCAGCTGGACCTGTCAGCTGAGCTCCTTCCTCTGTCCTGTCATAAAATGAGCCTGGAGCTGGGTGGTGTGACCCAACTGCTGCTTGTGGCTGCAGAAATGCTATCAAATAACCCTAAAAAAACCCTTTAAATAAATTAAATTATTGATACCAATTAGAAGTTGATCAAAGAGAATGGGTTTAGATGGGGTATGGGGAAGGAATCATAACTGTGAGGGAGGGAGGCCTCAGTGTGCTCAGAGCAGCTGCTGCTGCCCCTGGATCCATGGAGGCATCCAAGGCCAGGCTGGGCAGGGCTTGGAGCACCCTGGGACAGTGGAAGGTGTCAGGGTTAGAACTTTAATGTCCCTTCATCCCAAAGCATCCCATGATTCCGTGAACTTTGGGTGAAATAAGTGTTAATTTCTGTCTCCCAGCTGAGCCACACCTGGAGTCCAGCTCTCACCCAGACCGGTTTTGTTTAGCTGGATTAACCCAAAGAAGTTTCTTTGGAGATTCCATTCCTGGTTAAGGGATCCCCCTAAAATAATTGTAGATAATGTTTTTAGAAGGTTCCCCAAGTGTGCTGGTCGGTGGAGAGAGTGGCCTGGGTTAGGAGTGAGGCCAGCTCAGCTCTTGTGACCATTTAATGGTTCTAGAAGCTGCCACCCCTTCCATTTAGCCAGGAAAAGCAGCTCTGAGCTCTTTATCAGCACAGCTGAGGTGTTTGCTGAAGAAATGGGGGACTGATGCCAGCAGGATCAAGGCAGCTTTTCCAAATAACTGCTTCAAAACATCCCCATCCCTCCTCACAAATGGCCCATTTGCTCCTGCTCCTGCTCCTTGTTTGTGCTTCTGACAAATCATTCCTTCCCTGCTCGTTTTTGATGTGCCAAGCTGTGAGT